AAAAAAAAAAAAAAAAAAAAAAAAAAAAAAAAAAAAAAAAAAAAAAAAAAAAAAAAAAAAGAGAGAGAGAGAGAACATGAATCCTCTTACATCCATAGAAACAAACATCACTCTTCATCATCATCATCACCGTCATCATCATCATCATCCTGAGGCCCAGCTTCATCCCCAATGCCCTCAAGCAGCTTTTCCACATCCTCCCCCAACTCCATCAGCCTCACACTAAGCTTTTCAACTTTACTTTGCTCTTGCCCGAGACAAACAAGCAGGTCGCTCAGTTCGGCCTCACTCTCCTTCTGAGCTTCTTCCCGAGCTTCCGCTTTGATTTCCTCTATATCTAGTGTGGGCACAGACCCGGAACTCTTGAGGGCTTTCAGTTCGCGCTCTAGATGAAAGTTGGCCTGCTCAAGGCTGTTGTAAGCATCGGAAAGGCTTTTGAGGTCGGTTTCAAGTTTGGCTGCGGAGTTCTGGTGGTTGGAGGACTCTGCCTCGACTCTGGCTTTCTCAGCTTTCAGGTTTTCCATTCTTTGGGACATCTCATGGAGGTCTCGCCGTAGGGTCTCCATCACAACTCTTTCAGATCCGTCACTCGTCCGGTGTTCGAGCTGTGACGAGTCGACGTCCCGGCCCCCCCTTCTCACGAGGTCCTCAGCAAGAGTTGCGTTTCGACTCAAAAGGTCCTTGTTGAATTAAAAAGGAAAATAAATCAATAAATAAATAGCTGCTAAGTTTCCCCAGGTCTTACACCAATAATCATCCTCAAATTCAACAAATTTTCAGGCAAGAGAGATTAGTTGTAACGAAATCAACTTCTAGACCAGACCTGTAGGTAAACTGAGTGCATATTTGTCTATGAACATTGTAAAAAATATCAAATGATATGATATATATATATATAGGGACATTACCAAAACAACTCAGCTTCAGCAACTGGGATAAGTATGCCCATAAGCATTAACTTCATAACCATAGTCCCAGCTGACTTTAAGAATTACAAAAAGCACCTAGGTTAAGCATTAAAATTAAGGGGTTCCGTGTAGTATTCTTATAAATGGGAAAGAGAAATGTCCATAGCATTTTTGCTTGTGAATGAGGTCGACGTTCGGTGATGAATTATTTAGTGCTCATTTATAATTTCACAGTCAGAATTTTAATTTCTTTCTTTTTACAGTAATATTTTTAACAAGATGGGGTTGAAGCACAATTTCCACGACAAGCTTTTACAATGAATGCACGACTACAATAAGTACCTGTATCTCAAGGCATTGCTTCTCCACAAACCTTTTCAGCCGCTTGATGTACTCCGCATCACTCTCCCCGCTACTCTGTTCCAATTCCGCGGGGACCACCGCCACCTGGCTTTTCGGATGACTGTAAGTTTCCACAACCTGTTCTCTAATCTTCCCCTCCAACTCCTTCACAAAGAAAACAAACTGGGAATCTAGCACCATAGCCAGCAACGGGTGGTCCTCACCCTTCAGCTCACCATATTCGTTTTCGTCAACGTCATCAATCTCAGACATGTCAGCAGCAATAGAGCGAGTCAAAGGTTTACGAGCAAGGCTTGGCTTTGCGGATGTGAAAACCAGACTCTTCTGCATTTCATCAAGCTTCACAAAGTACGAGGAAAGCCCGATTTTTTGGCTTACGGAGTCGACAATGCTAAAAGCATTCTTTCTGTTTTCAACGGATTTATTATATATCACGCACACCCCTAACAGCACCGCGGCCAAACCCCTTACACATACAGTTGCAGTTTGATCAGATATTAACTCGAGCAAGTAAGTGAGATGAGGGCGTGAGTCAAGAAAGCACTCAACAGCACTTGGGCAGTCAAAGAGCCAGATGACTAGTAGCTTCAAAACAATCGGCTGGACATACGTGGGCCCGGAGGATCTAGATTTTCCGTCTTTACTCGTGGAAGAGGCAAGTGCCAAGTACTTCACCATGCGGTGCATTAGAGGCTCTGGGCCCCCTAAAGATGGCATTGGTGCTTCAAGTTCAATTTGGAGAACCTGCAGCAGTTCGCATGTCGTAATAACAAAAGGGAGCCATGCGCTCGATTAAACAAAAAAAATAAATAAACAAAGGTAATGTAAACAACGAAAGAAACGGATACCTTCTCTTTACACCGAATGTTATCCTTCAAAACATGAGATAGGACGCTTGCAGCTCTGCAGCAAGTCTGTCGGAAAGAAATAAGAAAAAGCAACTCATGCTACGCACAAGCAACTACAACGGGGATGTTTCTCGATCATAGGTATAAATAAGCTCGAGCACAAATTAAATGCCAATATAGATCAGTATGTGGTACAGGGTACGTATTGGAGCGACACGCACTCTTTCAAATGAAAAGAAGAGGAAATGTGGCAATAGGCATTACATGATGAAAGAAGCCAAATTCATATCAGTTGGACATAGTTCAAGACTGACTTTTCATAAGCACATTTGTTCAATAGAGGCACCATGAGTTATACAGCATACCTCGAGGTCACCATCACTTTCACTTAGAATCAGACCATGCAATAGCATGCTGCAAAAAAATGGGACTTTTTAAAACAATTAGGGCAGGGAATCCATAAAGAACTGAAAGAAAACCAAAAATAACCTTCCAAATGACATGTGGACATCCTCCTCAAGAGGGGCATTGAGAAATGAATGTGGTTGGGGAATTAAAGTTGAAACCAACATTGCTTGACCATCAGGATTGTTCTGTTGAAAGTTCGCAAAAAAGAATAAGGATATGCGAGAACAAAAGAAGAATACACAAGCAGAATAAAGATATGCGAGAACAAAAGAAGAATACGAAAGGGAATAAAGATATGCGAGAACAAAAGAAGAATACAAAAGCAGGGGATAAGACATTGTTACTTTTGGAACTAGTATACTACGTGAGGAAAAGATTGAACAGGAAAAACTGTTGGAGAAGAAAAACTGATCTAAGGTCTAATATTCAGCAAATATTTATCCTACTTTCTCATAAACAGAATAGTTATTCCAGATTAGACACAAAACAGACCTCGCAGTAGCACTTAAAGACATAGTCAGCTGCTATGAACTCTTGCACGCTAGAAGTCCGCAAGATAATCCGAAGGATAGAATTCAATGCAGCTTCAACGTCGGGCTCCTCCCCTAGTAATTTACTTGCAAGGGCATCACGATTTTTAGGATGATTGATGACTAGATCACCAATGCATTGAAGTGCCTGGAGAAGTCATAATGTGAAGATTAGTAACTTCAATAAAGCACCAACAACGAGTAATAATGACATGGTCACCACATAAATAATCATGAATACACAGAAGACGAGTGATATAAAAATTAATATGTGGAAAAATAGTCTCATAAAGACTACAATCTTTGCAGAGCAGTTACAGTATATTATTAGGGAAAAACTCATGTGACCCCAACCCATCGGCTGTTAACAACTAATAAGTTCTTACGGAAAACAAAATGATATGTCCTACTTATTTTCTTAATGGAACACTATCTCTTTCGCACCTTCCATCCTATTTGAACCAAATAATGACAAGATTTTGACCTTATATTATGACCACATCAATGATAACCCCGTCGAAGTAGATATTCAATTAAAACAAATTCAGCTATTCAGACAAACCATGGTAAAAGAAGTAGAAACTTCACTGAAATTACAAACCTAAAGCACATACATTGACAGAAAGAACCTGTGATTACTGTCTCTATTTGAATGAACCATTTCGCCACCCCAGAGAAATTAATTAGGATAATGAAAACAGAGGCGAGGTTTGGAGTATCACAAAATATGCATTGTCCAGAAAGTCATCTTACCGTACAACGGACCGCAACAGGAGCCCATTGACTCTCAACTCCCAGCAATAAGAGATGGTCCAACACCTTTTTCTACAATGAGTAGAATATATTTAAAAAAAAATATAAACATGCGTATTTAAAAATAGCTTGAACACTTCAGCATTTCTAAACTAAAATGTTCTCAAGAGAAAATCGAGAACCATACCACAGTTTATTAATAATTTATACTCAAAACTGTGACACGCCATTACCTGCACCAAGACTGTTTTATTTGCAAACGCATTGGTGTCTCTTCCAGGATCAGTTTGTTGGCCACCTCCAAGTATTAGCAAATTAACGGTGTCCAATACACTGAGTAGATTAATTGTCTACTGGCATCAAGTTAATACACAGCAAACGAAAAGGATTAGAACTAATTTCGCACGGAAACATAGGTTTAGGTTGACCAAGATTAAATTGAGAGATGGAACTTTCATTAACATTTGAAGTCTAACCTTCTGCTGAGTGAACTTATAGGTGATTCCTCGGAGCTTCAAAATTGATACTAAAGGGTCAAAACCAATTGTCTCCCTAAGCAATACCTACACCATTTTTTCAATCAGCTCAGATTCAGTAGGACCATCTTGTAATATATATAGCAACAATCAGAACAATAAACAACAAAAAACGAGCAGTAGTGTTATCAAATAGCCATTTTCTGCCATCCACTATTTATAACATTGCCGAGCAGAAACCTGATTTGAGGCATTATTCCGGAGAAGGTTGTTCATTAGTTCCAGACAATCCTGTTTGCAGCAGAAAACAGAGATTAATAGCTGGCCTATTTACATACTATCTAGTATCAACAAAATACGAACCTAAGAGTTGCTATCTGAAGCCTTACAAACATAATGAAGGAGCACAGCTCACAAATACAGATAAATTTCACTGACCCAACCAGAACATATCAAGTTTAACAAGAAAACTGCAACTACTTTCTAGGTAGAGCCGAGAAACTACTGCACTGAAGAAGGTGAAGGGATCTCCGCTGATAGTGTTCAGGAGAAATTAACATGCTAATCATGTGACAGAGGGTTATTCAATACCAAATAAACAATAAGAAAATAAAACATTTCGTTACATGAGAGAAATTTCCATAAACTTTCATCTCCTATTAGAACACCTGCACAACAACACCGCCTTCAGAACCTCCTTCCTCTTTGATGATGCCAAAAATCTTCTCAAAAGCACCTTCAAAGACCAAGATTTTTTGTATTTCCTGAATGTAAAATTTACAAAAACAATAAGGATAAAATAAAATATACGACAGGACCTTTTCTATAACTGCTATTTTATCAATAATGGCTTTGGAAAGAGATTTATCACCTCTGCCTCCCGCGTCAGATACGTTAGAAGTAATAATGCCTCATTGCGTATCACCTAAGAGACAGAAAGGAGAGTGGGAGAAACAGAAATGAATATGCATCAGTCTAACATAATGAAGACTGTTGAAAATACAAAGAATCTAATTAAGTATACCAGCAAGATACCTCACGATCCATAAGCATATCCATGAGTGTTGTGATACCACGGGGAATCATAAGAATAGCTTCTTGCAGCCTGTGATGTAGCATAAGGGCTTCTTGACACAGTCAAAAAATAAAAATAAGAGAGGGAAATATCATTACCTATTCTGAGAATTTGTTAGAAGCGCGGTCAACAACTGCAAAGTATAATATCGGACATAGAAGTCTTCCTCTGACTGCAAAGGCACCAAAATTTAGAAAATAGTATGTAACTGTGGTTTGAGCACTCCACAACATTTGGTATTAAGCTATCTTACCAGCAGACTCAATAGAAGAGAGATACTATCCACTTCTCTTGCAAGTAAATCACTGTTCATTAAAGCAGGTTGAATTTCATTCTTTGATGCTTTTGCATGTTCAATTGGACTTAAGGCGCTTACAAGAGTTTCTAGTGCGCCTCGCACCTTCATACCTCCAACGAAGATTTTTCTAATCAGAAAAACCCAACATATATAAAATCACATGCAAGTAAATCTCATTAAGGACAGAGTACAGAGGATAGTGAAACAATCAGATTTAAACAACTCATGCAGTCAGGCATAGAGACTTCCGTAGCAAACACTACGTGTGTAAGAAGCTGTTTGATGAAACTTTTTCACAAACAGATATTTTAAACAACCACAATCAACAGATGCCAGTTTTATTTAGAAAGCAAATTGTCTGACCGCATAAAAGAAGATTTTTTAGTGAACAAGAAAAGGAAAACTCAAACCATTTCGACATCATCTCGCTCCTCCTTTAAAACACTCAATAGTACTGGAAAACCTGCATAACAATTAAGTGGAAAAAATTATAGCAATTTCCATGAAAGTCAGAAACTAAACAAAAAGTAGTTATTCCATCAAGTAATGAAGAACCAACCCATTGCCCCAAAAGACATCTGGGCAGCATGAGTTTCGGCCACAACTGCCTGAAGTTCAGCCATGGCACTCCTCCTGTCCTCAGCCAGCACACCGTTGCTAATGCGATCCAGCAAGCGCTCGACATGACTATAACATGAGCATGCATCATTCTTTCAATAGATAGAAATCATGGTAGCATGTTCCACAGTGCATACTACTCATTACTCAAATTACTTATTGTTCATGTTGCATCCGTTTAGACAGTAATAGGATATCATGGTGATGGCATCTTGAAATTTATTTCCCAACTACCCTGTTCAGTGAAAAATATTGTGCGCATATATGTACATAATTTACAAGGTAAACAAGTGAGCTAAATAGCCCTGTCATGAAGCAACTACTTCTGAAATTAATGACTTGAACCAATTATTAAATAAGATATAGACGATATAACAGTTCTTCAAGTAACTACTTTTTAGGCGCTACTACTTCAGGCATTAATGAGGTGCAACACATGATAAATCAAAATCAAAGTTTTGAAAGTCCTCTTTCAAAATATTAACATTAACACAAACATCAGATCAGTAATGTCATATGCTAATATGTTAAAGTATTAACCAGAGAAGTAAATTGTGGCAACGAATTTGGGGGGGGGATGGAGAGAGGAGAGAGGCTCAGATCTTAACAACATTTGCAAGACTCCGAAAAAAATACTGATCATAAAGCAATATCCATTCCAATTTGGCAGCACTTGAAACTCCAGAACAATTTTGATAGTAAACCATAATTGTCAGACATAAAGATAGATGTAGCATTGGCATTCCACTCAAATGTCTTTCATTGGCAACACAAAGGAGATAAGAAAGACCCTCAGCTAATTTACAAGGATAAAAAAAAAATATGCATTGCAACAATTGTGACATGAAAAATTTTACCTGTCTTCACTTGAATTCGAATTTTCATTTCCAAATACACGTCCAACAACACCCTGGAACAAAAGCAATCCAGATTAATGGCAGTGTTAAAACCCAAAAAGTGTAACATCAGTAACCAAAATAAATGGAGAAAATAAACCTCAATAAGATCAAGAGCAGTATTAACAGGACATTTTTAACTCTCAAATTTCGACCGTACACTAAAATGGGAATTGTAAACAACGTTCACACGACGATAAATGTGGTAACCCTAATTAACAGTGAAGCAAAACAGTAAATCAACCCCAACAAAAAATGGAAAAACAAATTACCTGGTACTTGGATACAAAATCCATATTGCGCCACCAGAAAAATCAAACCTCTGCAATAAAAAATGATTGAGCATCAAGCACTCAAGCCAAGTTGATCTATGAAAAACAAACAGAGATCAAAGCTCCAAATCACATGTTTGGCCGCACAACCAATGTTACCAGTTGTGGATGGCGACCAGACAAAAAACCGCCATATGGAAAATGGCAGAAGGCGTTGGCAGACCAACGAAACTACTATTTATATATACCATCATACTAAACATACATGTATTCCTAAAACGTGTCAACAAATACATTAGTTTCACTATGGGGCAAATAAATTCAACATCCTCAAGACGCCAAAGTACATAAAGAAAAATAAGATTCAAAATACAGGATTTAAAAAGAAAATAAGGGCAGTCATGAAGAGAATACATTTTTTAAAATTAAAAGAAACAGCTGAAATCTATAGCAATCAAATAAAAATCTTACTAAACAAAAATCAAAGGGAAACCGAAAAAGAATTATGCACATAGATTAAAGGGCAACGGGAAAGGAAATATTTTTTGTAGCATAATCGAAAGAACTGATAATCTAAACAAATAGATATCGAGCTTTAAAATATAAAGGGCAAGCAATAATAAAGCTGGAAAATAAAAGGAGCAATCACGGAAGTGAGAAGAAGAAAGAAAATAAAAGAAGAACATAAGGGGCAGAGAGGAACAATATAGTATAGACAAAGATAAATAACAATTACTGAAGGATGGATCGCGAGTGGCCGGAGCGTGGATCACCGGAGAAGTTCAGAGGAACAATATAGAGAAAGATAAATATCAATTACTGAAGGATGGATCGCCAGTGGCCGGAGCGTGGATCACCGGAGAGGTTCAGATTTTTTTTTTTTGGCAAGGCTCCTCTCTGTCTCCCTCGCTCTCTCGCTCAATTACAGGGCTCTTTCAGTCTGTCTCTCTCAGATGAGGCTCTTTTACAGGGCGCTTAGGTTAGGGAACGAGATCGATAATGAAGAATGAAGGAAAATAAATTAAGGGGATACAAATATGAGCAATTTACCAAAAAAAAAAAAAAAAAAAAAA